TTCCTGGAGAAGTTGGCATAACACCGTAGAATTGAACCCCCTGGCCCAATCTTTTGGGAACCTGGGGGTTTGTTGGGGAAGAGGCTCCAACAGCTACACTGTGAATTTGGTGCCTCTTTCTCAACCTGCCTCCCCCACCCTCCAGATTGCTATGAGATTTTGCCATTGACTTTAAGGGCCCCTGGGTATAATGGAGCCACATATTCGGGATTCCAGAATATCTCCCGAACCAGACAGCATTGTTGAACTTGGTATTTGAGGATATTCAGGATTCTCGAATATGTTACCCTGAATAGCCCCAAATCTGAATTTAGCCAATTTTTTGTTCAGTAAACACCCCTACTGCCTGACTCGTATCTTTATCCGGAGCTCTGAAGGATTGAGATTTTACAATCAGGATAACATCGGAGACATCTGGATCAGGGCGGGACGGTGGGGCTGGTGTTGTTGGTTGGACCTGTCGGCGGCATTTGACACAGTCGACCACCAGTTATAGGCCCACCGCCGCGCCAACATGGGGATTCAGGGGCTTGCCTTGCAATGGCTCATCTCCATTCTCCAAGGTCGGGGACAAATGGTGGCTTTTGGGAAGCAGCTGTCCCAAAGGCACCTGTAATGATTCCTTGTTTTTTTGTGTGTGTCTCTTTAAAAGTTTGGTTGCATGGCTGTGGTAGATAGACTAGAGTGGTTGAGAAAGGCAAGTGTGGTATGATTGGTGGTTGACATAGAGGGGGAGGGGTTTTGGAAGTGAATCTGGATGGAGGAGTATGTGAGTCAGTCAGGAGTTTCAGTTACAAGTTGACAGTTGATGTAGACAAGCTGTTCTGTGTTGAAGAAGTTAGAAGCTGACAGCTGAGGTTGTTCAGTGAGACAGAGAAAGAGAGCTGGAAGCTGAGTTTATAGGAAAAGTAAAGTAAAGTTAAAGTGAAGAAAAGTTAAAGGAAAGTCTGAGTGTCATAATAAACTGGAGTGAAACAGTGAACATATATGGCATTGAGATAAACAAGTGTTACAAAGTTACATGAGAAGATCCCTGTCAGTGAGGGATAAGGTTGAGTGTGATACCAAAGCAATTGTACATCATTTACACATTACTAGTTACATTGTATCACCCTCTTATTTAGTATTTATTTCAATAAATCCTCTTTTATTCAAGTTTATACCAACTCTGAATGAAATACTTCCCAGGACCACATAGTTCCTCGTAAGCCTTAAACTCAGTCTACCAAACTAGTAAGAGCAAAAGTAAAAGCATAAAGGTTTGGAAATCCTTAAAATTTCCTGGTGGTAGCAGAATCTACCCAGTTAAGCAAAAGAAAGAGAACTTTTAAAGTGAAACGAGTCCTCCCCAATAAGGAGGGCGCCACAGCACCCACTAATCTGTGGAGTGCCTCAGTGGGCGGTGCTCTCCCGGATGCTATTTAACATCTATATGCGCCCCCTTGCCCTGATTGCCCGGAGGCTTGGGCTAGGGTGTCACCAATACCCGGATGACACCCAGCACTATCTGTTGCTGGACTGTCAGTCTGACTCTACCCCAGAAGATCTGGATAGGCCGCTGCAGGACGTGGCTGAATGGCTTAGACTGAGTCAAATGAAATTGAATCTGATGAAGACGGAGCAGTTCGGGGGTAGGGAGCCCACTACCAGCCTTCGACGGGGCGCCGTTGGTGCCAGTGCTGAGGGTCAGGAGCTTGGAAGTGCTCCTGGATGCTTCCCTATCATTGGAGGCCCAGGTAGCAGCTACTGCCAAGGCAGCCTTTTACCATCTTTGGCTGATAAGGCAGTAGGTTCCCTTCCTTGAACGCAATGATCTGGTGTCAGTGATCCATGCTATGGTCACCTCGAGATTAGACTACTGCAATTCTCTCTACATGGGGCTGCCCTTAGTGCAACTCCAGAAGCTGCAGCTGGTGCAAAATGCGGCGGCCAGGCTGTTGGTGGGCCTCCTTATGTGGGAGCACATCCAGCCTGTGCTAAAGGCACTGCACTGGCTGCCAATAGCATACTGGATTCATTTCAAGATGCTGGTTTTGACCTTTAAAGCCCTTTATGGTCAGGAACCTGCCTATCTGAGGGACCGCCTTTCCCCGCATGTTCCCCAGAGAGCACTGTGGTCAGGGTCACAAAACCGCCTGGCCCTCCCTGGCCCTAAGGACGCCAGATTGACATCAACTAGGACCAGGGCATTCTCACTGGCAGCTCCGACCTACTGGAATGAGCTTCCTGGTGAGATCGGGGCCCTGCGGGACTTTGGACAGTTCCACTGGGCTGTGAAAACGGAGCTTTTTCGGCAGGCATTTCAATAGGAGCTGCACATTATCAGCTGTGCCCTGCGCTGACCTATTTCCAGCTGAATCTACCTGGAGGGGATGCACCGCTGTTTGTGCTCTAAATGCACTTTACCACATCTAGATCACCATTGACATATTAACGGTTTCAATTGTGTATTGTGTATCATATTGTATTTTACTGTATGTTTTATATTCAGGTGCATATTGTTTTATTGGATTTTATGTAAGCCGCCCTGAGCCTGCTGTAGCAGGAAGGGCAGGGTAAAAGTTAAAATAATAAATAATAAATAAATAAATAAGAACTTGAGATTTTAAAATTCACCTGCCCTGAAGACTACATGGTGTCAGGGGACTTCAGTGCTGATGAGATTTGAAAGCCACTGAAGGACATCAAGAGTGGAAAGGCACCAGGCATTGACTGCACCCACAATAAGTCCCTGATCAACAGCAGCCTGTTCACTAAGAAGTGGCTCACAAAGTTTTTCCCTGGCATCATGCAGGACCCCCCCCCCCCATGTTTGTAAAACTGAGATTTTCAGGTTCGAAGTTGGTCCTGTTGGGTTTCGATGTGGCACTTGCACTGCCACAGTGGCACTTGTGTTAAGCTCCTTGAAACAAGCAACCCCCCCAACAGTTCACTTTCCACGAGATTCTCTGGGAGAGTCTGATTGCTGGGTTAGGGTTGTTGTTTTTTACCACCGTAGGAAACAATGGTGGGAATGGGGGCAACCTGTTTGGGTGCCCATAGAATTGGACCCCCTTGTCCAATCTATTTGGAACTTGGGGGTTCATGTGAGGAAAAGCTCCAGCAGCTACACTGTGAATTTGGTGCCTCTCCCTGAAACCGTCTCCCCTCAGCCCATTAAAAACACTGTTGGAAAATTGACATCCCCCCCCCACCAGAATGAATTGGGGATGGGAGCAAGCTCTTTGGGTGTCCATGGAATTCAACCCCCTGGTCTAATCTTTTTGGAACTTGGGGGTTCTTTTGGGGAGAGGCTCCAGCAACTACACTGGGAATATAGGTGCCTCTTCCTCAAACCATCTCCCCCACCCCCCAGATTATATCCTATGAGATTTTGCCATTGACTTTAATGACCCATAGGGTATAATATATTCAGGATTCTTGGATATCTCCTGAACCAGACAGCATTGCTGAACCTGGTAGTTGGGGATATTCGGGATTCCCAAATATTTCACCTGAATAGCCTCAGATCTGAATTTAGCCAATTTTATTTTCAGTGCACATCCCTACTGCCCGACTGGTATCCTCATCCAGAGCTCTGAAGGGCTGAGATTTTATAATCAGGGAAAAAAAGAACTCCAGATTTTGAAATTCACCTGCCCTGAAGACTGCAAGGTGTCAGGGGATTTCAGTACTAATGAGATTTCAAAGGCACTGAAGGACATCAAGAGTGGAAAGGCACCAGGCATTGACTGTATCCACAATGAACTCCTGATCAACAACAGCATGTTCACTAAGAAGTGGCTCACAAAGTTCCTCTCTGGCATCATGAGAACAGGAAGACTCCCAGGGGAATTCACAAAATCAAAGGTAGTTGCTATTCTGAAATCTGGAAAACCTAAACATCTGGCGGAAAGTTACAGTTTCATCCCGTTTCTAACTGTGCAGGTTCGGATTTTTGCAGTCTTCAGCTGGGTCCAGCACAGCTGAGTTGCTTATGGGATGCTGTCTCAAGACATTCCTAGATCAAGTCCACCCAGATACTGCAAGCAAGTTGCAGTCTAAAAACGAACAGGAGCTGTATTCTGCTTTGACATTTAGGAATCTGTATAGCTTCTGCCCTCAGGAACCAGTGGGCTTGGAACTATGGAAATGGTTCACAGGGGGTTCTATCTAAAATAGTCACACTTAGAGAGCAGACTGCAGATGTCTCAGTTAGAAAGCAGACCACAGATGGACTATTATGGAGACAAATTCATGGTCACATGGACACTCCTAAATCTTAAATGGAAGATTCTAAGAAAATGCAGGAATGCAGGGCCCACTGAGAATCTGCAGAACCAGTCCAGGACAACCGTGGCCTAGAGCTCTAGAAACAGCTTAGCTAAGTATTGTTATTCCTTATTTCAATAGCCAAGTTATCTGCCTTACAGTTACTGTTAATAGAGAGGCCTTAAGCCAAACAGAACTGGGTGTTGTTTGCTCCACTACACAAAACTCACCTTCAAAAGATTCAAACTTCTGTATTAGGAAACGGCACTCCTCGACAATTCTGTCTTCTATGGTCTTCCTGCCCATTCCGTAGTCCTTCAACGTGGTTATCGCAAACCGCCTCATCACTTTCCAGTTATCACCATTAGAAAACGCAATACCTGGAGAGAAACAAAAAATCAGGCATATTGATATGCAAGAGTTGGTTCCTCAGTGTTTGGCTCTTGGACCATAGAAGACCCATCAGCCTGATTGGAGAAACTAAAACATTCACCTAGTAATGGGGACTGATACTGGGAATGGGGGGGTAGGAGAGAGATAAGTTCCTTGTTTCATTGCAAAACATTTTCAGCAACGAGCAAAAGCAGGACAGAAATATGGGAAAGAAATGAAATGTCAATGGCGGGGATGTCAAACATGTAGCCCGCAGGTCAGATGCGGCCCGCAGAGGGCTGAGATCTGGCCCCTGAGCAACTTCCTTCTCCTGCTTCCTTTCCCAGGACTGCTGCTGCAGCTGCACCATAGCCTGCTTTCCCCCAGCTCCCTTGTGTCTTTTTGCTTCGCGCTTCCTGTTTCCTGCCTCTTGCCTCCTTCCCCCTTTCCTTGCTCTCTCTCTCTCTCTCTCTCGCACACAGAGAGATACAAAGACAAGCCTCGGTCTCTCTCTCTCTCTTGCACAGAGAGCTTTTGCTTCCTTCTCTGGGGCTGCTCCTCCTATTTTGGGGAGGGAGGGGAGGAGAAAGAGAAAACTAATCCCATTGCAGCTTCATGACCAATGACGTTTTATTCCAGGTATAAGCTTTAGTATGCAAGCATACTTCTTGGGAGGGAGGGAGGGAGGGAGAGAGGGAGGGAGGGAGAAATGTACATTGAGGAAATTATTTTGGTTTATTCTGAAAAGTTGATTTTTTAAAAATATATATGGATTTCTCTGTTTCTATCTGGATTTCCCCCCAAAAAACAGCCTAATTAGGAATTAGAACACTTGGATTGGCCCTTACATCTGGGAGAGTGGAGTGATTTTAGATGCCAAATGATAATAGCACACATTAGTAATGAGACAGGAAAACTAGCTCTCAATTCAGTCCAGGAGGATGCATTCTCTTGAGCTTCATTATCAATTGCAATTTGGCAGTCTCTCTAATCTCCCTTTGAAATTCCTTTGTAAGAGCACTGCTACTCTTAGGTCAGCAACTGAATGCCGTGGTTTCTAATGTCAGACTTATGTCCATTTCTTCTTTGCATCCGCCTGGACTGAATCCTCCTGGATGGAATTGAGACCTAGGTTTCCTGTCTCCTTAACAATGCCGGTATCTCCACGCCTACTACCCCTCTGCATATCACAACTAATCCAATCAAGCCTGCTCCTGTCATTCACCTGCTTTTGCCATTTGACATCTGAAACCACCTTTATAAAGTTTATATCTCCAGCACCTCGTGTAACATTTTATGGCATGCATGGTCCGGCCCAACAAAGTGACAAGTATGTCAGATCTGGCCCTCGTAACAAATAAGTTCAACACCTCTGGTTTACTGTTTGGCTCTGAGAACTGAGCCAGCTCCTATCCATATAACCAGCATATTTCTAGGTCACCCTATACTAGGGCTGCCAAGATCTCCCAGAATTATAATTGCTTCTGAGATAGGTCACAACTTCACCCCGTCTACTCTGTTTTTGCCGGCTGTGCAGTGGTTAAGTGTGTGGACTCTAATCTGGGAGAACCGGGTTTGATTCCCCACTCCTCCACTTGCACCTGCTGATGTGACCTTGGGTCAGTCACAAGCTCTGGCACAGCTGTCCTTGAAAAAGAGCCGTTTGTGTCAGAGCTCTCTCAGCCCCACCCACCTCACAGGGTGTCTGTGGTGGGGAGGGGAAGGGAAAGGAGTCTGTAAGCCGCTCCAAGACTCCGAGTGAAGGGCGGGGTATAAATCCAATCTCCTCCTCCTCCTCCTCCTCCTCCTCCTCCTCCTCTTCTTCCTCTTTCTCTTCTTCTTCTTCTTCTTCTCCCTCTTCTTCTTCTCCTCGTCCTCTTCTTCTCCTCCTCCTCCTTTATGCAAGGCCAGGGATAGAGCATCTTCCATCATGACTTCCCATGACATGAACTTCGATATGTATACCTCTTTCTTTTCCCTCTCCCTGCAACCAGCCCCCCCCCCCCCATATTTATTTCTCAGGGATGGGAGATTGTGCTGTGTGTGTGTGTAAAGTGTCCTTCAGTCGCTGACATCTTATGGCAACCTCATGGGGTTTTGAAAGGAAGAGGCAAAGAGAGGTGTTTTGCCATTGCCTGCCTCTGCGTAATGACCCTGGGCTTCCTTGGTGGTCTCCCAGCCAATGCCCCCTCTAAGCTAGTAGGAGCCGCCGCCCCACTATTCCACCATCGTCATGGTTCCTTAAAGGATATACTGACGAGGCCCTGAGGAAGAACCTGGACAATGTAAAGAAGAGCTAACAAGCTGTCTCCATTGGACACAAATATCATGGGAGTACCACCTGGAACTGTGTTGATTTCATCCTGGACATATGAGATCAGTAACGGTCTGAGCGCCGTTGTTTTAAGTGTTGGATGTTTTTATTATGTTTCATATTATGTTTTATTATGTTTCATTATGTTTTACTGCCACAGGAAGTGGTGGGTGCTACAAGCATGGACGGCTTCAAAAGGGAATTAGATAAGCATATGGAGCAGAGGTCCATAAGTGGCTATTAGCCACAAGGTATAGCTAGGGGCTCTGGGGCAAGGGATGCTCTGTCTTCTTGGTGCTTGGGGGGGGGGTCAACAGTGGGAGGGCTTCTAATGTCCTGGCCCCACTGCTGGACCTCCTGATGGCACCTGGTATTTCTGGCCACTGTGTGACACAGAGTGTTGGACTGGATGGGCCTTTGGCCTGATCCAACATAGGTGTCTCTTATGTTCTTATGTTCTTATATGTTTTAATTATGGCACGGGCTAATTACCCTGCCCTTGTTAGCTGCCCTGAGCCCATTGGGGAGGGCAGGATAGAAATGTGGAAAATAAATAAATAAACAAACAAATAAATAAATAAGCAAGCGGTGGAGTCTTGTGAGCAAAAAATTCTACTTTGTGAACTACTGGCACTAAAGTTGTGAGTGAGCGATTTGGCTACTGCATAAATGAGTCTGCTCTGGAGCCATCCCTTCCTGAGTGAAGACAAAAATGTGTGAGCCGGAGGCTAAAAAGACTGTGAGCTGGCTCACACTCACTCGGCTTAGAGGGAACACTGCCCCCAACCCTGCTCAGCTTCCAAGATCACACGAAATCGGGCTAGCCTGGGCAACTGGGTTTGAACTGTCAGGGCACTGATGAAGACAAAAAAACATGCTGAATGTTTCATTGTATGGAGGAAGTGAAATTGCTGCATGAGGGAAGTCCTCATATGATGAAGGAATGAATCCACGGCCACTGTTGTTTGTGCCTCGGTTTTTCAACCCTTTCTCCTGTGCTGTTTCCATGATCTCAAATTCTTGGTCCTTTTCTTTGCCCTCAGGATTGTGGGGGGGGGGGGACATAAGTGCTTATATCAAAACAGTTTAAGCCAACCTAATTCTATAGACAGTTTGCATGTCTCCTAGAAAAATGTTGCAGGGAGAGAGAAAAGGAAGGGGTAGACATATTGAAGTTCACATCATGGGATGTCATGTACATAAGTACATAATGTGAGAACATAAGAGACGCCAATGTTGGATCAGACCAATGGCCCATCCAGTCCAACACTCTGTGTCACACAGTGGCCAAAAAGACCAGGGGCCCTCAGGAGGTCCAGCAGTGGGGCCAGGACACTAGAAGCCCTCCCACTGTTGCCCCCCCAAGCACCAAGAATACAGAGCATCACCTGCCCCAGCCTGTGAGTCCCTATCTATACCTTGTGGCTAATAGCCACTGATGGACCTCTGCTCCATATGCTTCCCTAATTCCCTCTTGAAGCCGTCCCCATTTGCAGCCGCCATCACCTCCTGTGGCAGTGAATTCCATGATGGAAGAGTGCTCTATCTTGGCCCTGCATAAAGGATGATTTGTTTTATTTTATTTTATTTTATTTGAACTTTTACCCCGCCCTCCCAATCGAAGCTGGCTCAGGGCGGCTTACAACAAACCAGCACATTAAGACATAAATTACGATTAAAACAGTTCTAAAACCGTAATAGTGATTGTTCAACATAAATGGTCGCAGCCATCATTTGCAGTTCTCAACCCGCCATCAGTTCACAGTATTCGTTTTAGATGTTCCAGCAGTATTTGTTGGTCTTGAGGCTATTGGTGGTGGTTCATGGCAGTTTCCGGACTCCAGGGCCCTCTCCGATGTTCTCCATTGGTGGTGGTGGCGGCTCCCAAAAGCCTGGTGGAAGAGCTCCATTTTACAGGCCCTGCAGAACTGTGAAAGGTCCTGCAGGGCCCTGATCTCCTCTGGGAGCTCGTTCCACCAGGTTGGGGCCGCCACCGAGAAAGCCTTGGTCCTAATCACCGACAATCTGACCTCCTTAAGACCCGAGAGGGCCAGCTGGTTTTGAGCCCCTGATCTCAGTGCTCTCTGGGGGACATATGGGGAAAAGAGGTCCCTCAGGTATGTAGATCCCTGGTCATGTAGGGCTTTAAAGGTAAGAACCAGCACCTTGAAACGAATCCGGTGTGCTATTGGCAGCCAGTGCAACGCCTTCAGCACAGGCTGTAAGTGCTCCCGTATAGAGAGCCCCACCAAGAGCCTGGCTGCGGCATTTTGCACCCGCTGCAGCTTCTGGATTTGAGACAAGGGCAGCCCCATGTAGAGAGTAGTCTCTCGAGATGACCATCGCATGGATCACTGTCGCTAGGTCGTCACGTTTGAGGAAGGGAACCAGCTGCCTGATGAGCTGAAGATGGTAAGCCAAC